AAAAAAAACTTAATTATATAATGATATATTATAATTAAAATTTTACAACATGTATAAATTATATAACATTTTAACTTTCTTTTTAGTTTCTTTTATCGGACCCGGCTCCAATTAAAGAAAACAAGTTGCAGCTTACTAAGTCGATGAATATCAACTTAAACATTAAGTTACACATATTTCATCTATGGAAAATCATGACAAATTTAACTAAAATTAGTTCCAGTATTTTTACATATTCTTCCTATTACTCATTGCAACTGAAAATCTGACCATTTCAGATAGGTGATAATATCATGTTTGAAGAAAATTTTCTTAATTGCTTGTACATCTAGATGAAAATAATATACACCAATATTTCAGGACAGATGTTCTAACAATTTTGTACCCCAAATAATTGGGCATAAATACAAAAGCCTAAATGCAGAGAAATGAAAATGAGCAAAAAAATTATCATTTGTAGCAGCACGTGAGACTAGTGGTTAATTTCCTCGAAGGTTTGGGTCAGCAACTTCTAAAAGAACAAAAATCTCCAATCTTGAGATAGTTTATAGGCATGTCTTTTCCAACACGAGAAGAAGTAAAGGGAGGGATCGATCACCACTAACGCTGTATTGATTGCTTGAGCTGCAATCATTTCCCCACAAGCTTGTAGTAGGCGTACAGACCAGAGCCAATAAACCCCAGAAACTGCCCAATAACATTTAGCTGCAATTGAGACAGACCATTATCTCAGGCTGCTTCTATTCTCAAGGGTGAAGTTAGACAGGAAAGAAGAATAATCAAATATGCATCATTATATCGAGAGCAGCAGAATTGAGAGGAGAGTCAGCACTTACAAGATCGAATGGAAGCCCGCGAAAAATTAGCCAGCCAAGTCCAATGGTAAAGACATCCTAAAGAAATGCATAATAATTAGCCAATCTAAAAATTAGTACAGAACCTAATCAATATGTTAAAATGGACAAAGGAAATGTACATCATCTAGATACGTGACAACCTGATTCAATGTCTTAACTCGACCTGAATTCCTCCTTGTTTTGCAATAATTTCAATTGTTAACATAAAATATCATGAACAATCTCCAAAGAGCCAAAAACCACCCACTATATAGCATTTGTGGGATGACACCTAGCTAATGAATTTGGATATGACCTCCCCACCATTTCATTTTGAGATGGCTGTCCCAGGAAACAACTTTGCTAGGGAATCCACAACAATATCCAGGTCTAATATCTATATCTATATATACAGATATATAAAAGTCAGGTCTCTGAGGTTAATCAGGCTAATCAGTCCACCTCATTAAACAAAGGTACTCCGTACCCACAGAGGAACAAGCTCTATCTCTACACAAGTCATAATTTAACCCACACATTATTTCCCTATTTAATTCTTTGAGACCTTACTTGGGGAGGGTTCACAGTCCAAACAGTTTAGACTTCGCCAACATGTCAGAGAGATCACAAAGAAAAAAAAAAAATGCCACAGAAAGGAAACATGACAGAGCATCATATTCCACGATTCAATGTCAGATAAAATTGCCTAGCTATTATTTCAGTTCGTAAGTTTTTTAGGTCTCCCACAAGTAGATCAAATCAGAAATTTCCTCTTTGTAGAACTACCACAATCAGACTGTCTGCAGAGCAATGTCAGAATCAAGCTACAAAACTAGTAGGTATTTGGTAAACACACCTTCAAATTACCACAAACTGTTTGTGTAACTGCTGAATTGAGAGTTGTGTTTAGGAAAATGGTGTAATTCAAGAAGAACGCCAGAATACAGGAAAATAGCAACACAACCTGCACAGATGGAGTACAGTGCTCAAACCAACTTTATTTATTTTCCATAGAAACACATTGAATTATTTAGAATCATGAAAATCAATATCAATATTGGGAAGAGCGAATTTATATGAGAGAGAATAAAGTACCAAAAAACCAGGTGCAAACAGATAAGGAAAATTCATTGTAGCATTCAGGTCGCCATGAAGAAATGTCCACAACAGCAAAAATGGTCCACATAATATTCCTATGATAGAAAATCCCCATGAATTCACATCACAAAGGAACTAAAATCGTAGAATTATGCAATAAAAGGATAGATAGTACAATGGTTATGATTCAAGTTAGTGCTGTGATTACCATTACACCACATAAGGCCAAAGCTATTAAGACCACTGGATTTTCCTGAAAGAAAAAGCAAGGTGAGTGCATTAAACTATATGTAAAACCAGTGAAGAGGAAAATTTTATCAAAGGATTCTCCTCCCCACACACGCAACCCCCCCCCCCCCCCCAAAAAAAAAAAAAAGGTGAAAGTACTACCAATGCGGGCAATAGTTGCAAGATATATTGCTGTGGTGATGTTGGCTAGGAAAACAACAGCATAACCATTGAGGTCAAATGACAAGTCTCGAGCTCCCGCCACAAATGCACCAAGAACAATCAAGCCAACACTGATAACACCCTTAAGTTTTTTCAGTTAAATGAAGAAATCAGAAGCATGGCAAAAGGTCTTATAATGTTTCCTATTAGCAAAAATTGTGTTAAAAGTTTTTTATACATTAGAGGTTTTCTCTGATTCCAATATTGTACAAATTTCACTCAAAAATTTGAAAGGATAGTTGAATAATCCAGATGTTGAAATTTGCACACATCTGAAATGCAATCAGCACGTTCAGTCCAAAATTTAGCAATATTAAACCTTTCCATTGATTATCTTCACATTTGCCTAAAGATTCATCTGAGATTTAAAAAGTATATTAACAGGTGTTTTTGGTTGAAAATTATATAACTACTAGTTCCCATACAACTCAATGAAGCAAGTATAGAAGGTAGGACTTTTCTGACTGCCATGTAACCTTAGTACAGAAATAACTCAATGCATAATCTTTTCTTGATTTCCAACAAGAAATATACCATAAAACAAACAGTAGAGAACGGCTTAACGGCGCTATTTACCTTCCAACAATAGATGATGAATACTTCTGCCCAGCAAGAAGATACTCCACAATCATTGTAAATACCACTGTAGTCCGCCTTAGGGTGGTATACATTGGAACATTTACACCACGGACAGACTCCATGACAACTAGCTTTCAGGGACAAATAGATGAATATATAGACATTAGCCACAGCTAGAAAAATAATATTAAAATAATATTAAAAATCCTGAACCTATACCATGTAAAGCAAATAGGCGAATGCAACAGGAGAGGTTTGTATCAATGTCTTCAACGGCACCAAACTTGTGGAGTTATCAGAAATTATTAGAGATTCATTATTTGTGAAGGAAATAATCTTCCAGCGTCTCAGTGCATACAGAAAGGAACAAGAACATATAATCTGCAAGAAGAAAGAATGTAAGCAATTACAACATCTAGCTCATTGCACCCTTTATAGTGGCCTAGTGTAAAGTCCCTAGGAATCCATGCAGTATCCCCCTCTTCTTGGTCTTGCCCTTCTGAATATACTGTATTTAACCTTGATCAAGGGACAAAGCAGATATCTATATGTTGGCTATCACACAAATACTGCTTTAACACATCACTCATTGCACACATGCAGCGAACCAATGAGAAGCAATAGAAGTTTAACAGCAGAACAATTAAAAGTAAATGATAGTAGAGTATAAAATGCAAACATTTGTAGTTAAGTCCAACCTGAAGGAGAGTAATAACATTTGCACAAGGGAAGTTATAAGAGGAAAGAGCCGCTTTGTTGAAGAGCACCAGGAGCACTGCAAAATATGCACAATTTTACCATGGAACAAGAAAAAGTAAACCCGCAAATACAATTAAAATTCTTTATTCTTTTCTCCATCACTTTCCTTTCTCATTCTCTGTTGGACATTCAAAAGCAATAAGTTAATCAAAATTTCTACTCCCTCTGTTCCAAAATAATTGCAGTTTTTAAAATAAATTTAGCCACAATAATTTTGGAACAGGTGATTAAATCACAATTTCTTCCTTCTTCTTCTTCTTCTTCTTCTTCTTCTTCTTCTTCTTCTTCTTCTTCTTCTTCTTCTTCTTTTTTAAATATATATATTTTGCCATCCACTAAGTAAACATAGCAATTATAATATCACAATTTAATAAATAAAAAAAGAAGAAAAAAACTACATTACAGTATGCATTTAGAAATTATGAAATTTGGTACCGTGAAACAACTAAATTATCTGATAGGAAATTCAAAAAAAATAGAATGATCAAGTTCTTTTTTTTTGGTAAGCATGATCGAGTTGATACTTTCTCAGAAGTAAGTGAGATACGAAAGAAATCGCACCGGCACAGGCCATGTAAGAGACGGCGGCGTAAGCGCTTCTCTTGGTCATGGCGGATCCTTTGAAAAGCCGATCATCTCCTCTCTTGATGGGCCGCTCTTTGTCCTCCTCCAGCTGGTCAATCGGCGGATGCGACACCGGCAGCACCGTATTCTTGAAGGAATTCGACGCCATGAGAGACGTTTCTTCTTCTTGCTTTCCCGTCCCGTCCCCCCCTATAATCTTCAAATCAACGCTTAAGCGTCAAACACAGACCGGGAAATGTAGCGGGCTTCAGTCAACCCTCGGAACGGGTCCATGACGTTAATCGCTTACTTAAATGGTGTGCTGATCTAAACCCAATATGTTGGGCCCAACCCAAGTCGTCTTTTGGGTGATTCGGGCTAAAGTTGCAACTGGTCGGGTATTCTCAAACCCGGTGCATTTTTGTTATTTTCATTTTGGTTAAATGCCATTTTTTACTCTCAAACCTTTGATTTTGAATTTTTTTTTTACTTTTTTAGTTTATAAATTATTAAAAAAATATTTTTAAAATATTTTAAATTAATTTATTAATTTTATTTAAAAAATATATATATTAATCTTGACTCTGAAAGAAAAATTAAAATATTAATATTAAATTACATTATTTTATTTAATTAAAATTTTAAAAATTTATATTATTAAATATTGATATTTAAATTTAAAAACTGATTAAATTTTTAAATTTTGAATTTTAATTTTAATATTGAATAAAGTAAAATTTTAAATTTTGAATTTTAATTTTAATTTTTAAATATAAATTAAGATTCAAATTCTTTTTAAAGTAAAAAGTGATAACTGATAAGCATTAGTCTCATTTATTTAAATATATATTTTTAATTTTTAAATTTAGATTGAATGCCCAATTTGATCCCTCAACTTTCATTTCTGAACTTAGTTCATCCTTTAACTTAAAAAAGGACCAAATCATCCTTAAAGTTTATTTTCCCATGACCAAATTGGTCCTTCCGTGACAAAAGTGCCCACCTTGCACGTTAAGTCTCCACAATTTAGTTCTTCTAATTTTTAAATGCTTAGTTACAACCCACAAAGTCAAAATAAAGAATCCATTTCAATACTCCAAATCCATTTTCCTCTCTCCATTTACCCACCTCGCTTCGCACTCTGCTTTCTTCTTCCAAATTCCATCACACTTCATACTACGCTTTGTTGTTCTCAAGGTCGACGGCATTGAAAACCCTTGCAAGCTCAGTAGTTTTCAAAGGGGCTTTTGTTGTTAGCACGAAATCAAGGGGGTTTGAGTGGAGAATGACGGCAACGATTATAGACACAAGGATGGGGACAGAGAAAAGTGAAGGGAAGAAGGTGTGCATCTTTGATTTAGAGGAGGATCTGGCGATGGCCCTTACAAAATACACCACCGACTTGTTTGATAAGGTCTCTGAAATGAGGAGCTCGTTTACTGTCGATTTTTTGTTGTCTCGCCACCGTCGTCACTATAGTAGAGGCTTGGAGACCTAGTTTTCAAACACAGTGAATGATGATCAACCTAATCCTCCCTTTTCTCCTTTAGAAATCGCAGTAGATAAGTCAAGTTTTTTCCATTTGTATGAGGAAACGTTGGGGTTTTTATCTCATGTCCATGTACTAGGATTTGGAGTCTTGAAATGTATTCTTGATTTTGACTTTGTGGGTTGTACTTATTGCTTTCTGGTGATGAGTAATTTGGGTTTCTCCAGAGAAGATGAAATCTAATCTGGGATTCTCATTGGAGAAAATAAAAAACCCAATCAAAAGAATTTAATTTTTTTTCCTAAATTGTTTAATGAATCAATTAATTTAATATATTTGATGAGGTTATAATAACTGAATTAATTATGAGTTAATTGCTCTCTTAACTATCTGTATTAAATATAACAATCAATTAGTTTAATCTTTTAAATTTAATAAGAATGAGTCAACTAGGATTTTTTTTTCTTATTTCTTAACAGTATCATATTTAATAATTTTTACCATGTCATCAATTAAGTATTGTGTTTTTTCCACACAAGCATTTGAAAATTAAAAGAATTAAATTGTGGAGACTTAACATGCCAGGTGGGCACTTCCGTCATAGAAGGACCAATTTGGTTATGGGAAAATAAAATTTAAGGACAACTTGGGTCTTTTTTGAAGTTAAAAGATGAACTACGTTCAGAAATGAAAGTTAAGGGACCAAATTGGATATTTAACATCAAATTTATAATATATACATATTTTTAATCTCTATGTCTTAAAATTAAAAAAATATATAAATTAATTTAATAAATTAATTAAAAGAATGATTAAAAAATATTTTTAAAAAAATATATATATAAAAAATAATTCAAATGCTAAAAATATTTAAAACTAAACAGTCAAGGACTAAAATTGATGTTTAAGTATTTAGCTAAGCTGAACGCGTAGTATTGAATGCAAAATATGCCGCGAAGCACGCAATCCAATCCCCTGTCTGTCGTTATGCCGAAATTAAAATCCCCACATTGGTTTCTCATTCGGCAAATATCATATCCACTGTTTCCGTTCATTAAAAAAATAAAAAAAGTCTCAAAATAAACTCTAAATTTTATAAATAAATTCTAAAATTCAGGTTTTGATATTAGCCCCCAATAAAAATAAATTTATGCAATATGCAACTGGCACCACATAGATATCCTTTTAAAATCATTTAAAAGAAAATAACTCTCGAAAACTCTCAAAAGCATAAAAAATTATTGAGATATTTTAATTATAAATATAACAAATATAATATAATAAAAATTTACTATTTATTATTTAATTTTTTCTCAATATCTAAAAATTATATTAAACTCAATTAATTTAAAGACAAATTGTATTTAAATTTTTTTTTCAATACTTATTATTCTATAATCACAAAATTTTAACACTAAAATTTTATTTTAAAAAAATTAAATCCTTCTCCCACCAGCTAACATACTATTGACAGAAAATAAAAATATGAGAATTTTAATGAAATGATTTAAGGATTAAGAATTTAAAATAATTTGAGTGAAAAAATTAAATTTATAAAAATAAATAATGACAACAAATTAAAGCACTTTTGGAAGCTACGTCAAACCGCACCCTTAGTTCGAAAGATGCTGTTTTACAATTTTTTTAATATAATAATAAAAAGCAAAACAGCACACGTCACACCACCTGACTCCCCGCTTTTATAGCTTCTCCCTCATCAGATCTCACATCGCTACACGTTTGCGGATATAACAACCCGCTATTTAAATTCGCCTTTCCACTCGTCCCTTCCTCTGCCTTTCATCCTCTCTTCTTCCTCCACACACGCAGACGCAGAGAGAATCTAGTCGGAGTACTACCGCTGGCTCCGCCGTTTAATCGCAGTTTAGTTTCTTTACACTGAAGAAAGTCAACAGATTCGACGTCATTTGACTCACCGGAACTCCTCTTCTAACTTTCTCACCAGATCCAGGGCCGCCGCACGGAACGGTAACCTCAAAAACCAGTAATTTACCGTTTAATTAAGGAGTCAAAAGTGATCGCAAATTGATTAATTAATTTTGAACTCTTGAGTGATGAATAGCTAGATCATTGGATAAGGGAGAGATTTGGTTGGATCAACGGTGAAGATGACACCGACCACGATTCGGAAAGCGATCGGGGCCGTTAAAGACACGACTACCATTGGCATAGCCAAGGTAGCCAGCAACAATGCGCCGGAGCTGGATGTGGCGATCGTGAAAGCTACCAGCCACGACGTCGACCCTGCCGATGAGAAGTACATACGGGAAATTCTCAATTTGACATCCTGCTCGCGCGGCTACGTGCTTGCTTGTGTGTCGGCAGTGTCCAAGCGACTTGGCAAGACGCGTGACTGGATCGTTGCCCTCAAGGCGCTTGTGCTCGTTCATCGACTCTTGAACGAGGGGGATCTGATGTTACAGGAAGAGATTATACACGCCACCAAAAAGGGTACCAGGCTGTTGGACATGTCGGGTTTTAGAGACGAGACGCATTCGAGCTCCTGGGATCATTCCGCCTTTGTTCGCACTTATGCCATGTACTTGGATCAGAGACTTGAACTGATGCATTTCGAGAGAAAAAGTGGCAGTGGTGGTGGTGGTGGTGGTGGAGGAAGTAATCGTGGTAATGGTGAGGTTAGATACGGGGGCCGAGATAATTTCCGCTCTCCTCCTCCGAGGTATGGTAATGGTGAGGACGGATATGGGAGCCGGGAAAATTTCCGGTTTTCTCCGAGGCAGGGTTATGGTGAGGACAGATACGGGGACCGAGACAATTTCCGGCCTCCTCCTCGGAGGCATGGCTATGGTGAGGAGGACAGATACGGAGGCCGGGACAATTTCCAATCTCCTCCTCGGAGGCCAAACGGGTTTGATTATGGAGATTCTAGAAGTGAAAGTGGATACGGAAACTATGATAAGACGAAGAGATCTCGGTCTTTTGGTGATATCAGCGATGGAATGGGGAGGGAAGGGAGAGAAGAGAAAAGAACGGTTATTCCATTGAAAGAAATGAAACCAGAGAGGATTTTTGTTAAGATGGGACACTTGCAGAGGGTATTGGATAGGTTGTTGTCATGTCGCCCCAGGGGTTTGGCCAAGAACGAAAGGTTGGTCATGTTCGCATTGTACAATGTTGTGAAGGACAGTGTTCAGTTATATAAGGATATTAGCGAGGTTTTGGCTGTGTTGCTTGATAGGTTCTTTGATATGGAGTATCCAGATTGTGTCAAGGTCTTCGATGCCTTTGTAAGTGCAGCAAAGCAGATTGATGAGCTGATTGCAATTTATAATTGGTGCAAGGACACTGGGTTAGCAAGAACATCAGAGTATCCTGAAGTGCAGAGGATTGCGAGCAAGTTGTTGGAGACATTGGAGGAGTTTGTGAGGGACAGAGCTAAGAAGCCAAAAAGTCCAGAGAGGAAGGAGGAAGCTCCTCCTGTAGTCAAGGAAGAGCCTGCGCCGGATGTGAATGAGATAAAGGCGCTACCTCCACCTGAGAATTACACTTCACCACCACCACCACCAGTGCCTGAACCAGAGCCTGAGCCTAAGCCTAAGCAGCCACAAGTAATTACAGGGGATTTGGTGGATCTTAGGGATGGGAATGTCACTGCTGATGATCAGGGGAACAAATTGGCTCTGGCTTTGTTTAATGCCCCCCCTCCTACTGGAAATGGGCCATGGGAAGCATTCCCATCTGATGGGCAGC